GTCACCAGGAGGCCCGCGATGGCTACGACACCCAGGGTTCCTACTATGTCTTGCTTCCCGACGGTCGTCTGCAGAAGGTCGCCTACACTGTCAACGGCGACTCCGGTTACGTGGCTGAGGTCAGTTACGAGGGTGAGGCTCAGTACCCCGAATACAAGCCTGCTCCTGCCTACAAGCCTGCTCCTGCCTACAAGCCTGCTCCTTCTTACCAGCCCGCACCTGCCTACAAGCCAGCTCCTTACCAGCCTGCTCCTACCTATGAGACCACCCCAGCCTACGCCTAAGTGAATTTCGATTAAATAAACATTTATAAATATTTATTAAACTGAAATTCTAGTAACATCTATTCTTTCCCCGTGTTACCGTCAAATATAAAATATGTTTGTAAATCTACACATTACTCAGATTACTTACATGATATCTTATACGTTTAAAAGTACTAGAGAATGCATTCTTCTTAATCGAAAATGACAGGAGCAGACATAAACATGAATTAATCTCAGCCTCTCATATATGATTTAAAATGATTATTTCAAATATACAGATTAAATTATATCTCTTCATAGATACAAGACAAACACAAAGTTGCTTAAATGAGTAGCAGTCCTGGGATAAATGCATTATAGCGCTTGAAGCAAATCACTTGATAATGAAAAAAAAAAAAGTAAGAAAAAAAAAAAAAACTATAACTGCAAAGTAGAAATCCGCTACAATTGAGCTACGACGGTGGCTATGCAGATAGTACACATGTATACGTACACATATGCATATAAACCTACGTACACTCAAAAAGAAAAGGCACGCATTCCCTTTACTTTTCATTTTCGCCTTGAAGATGTTTTCCCAGTCACCGCCTACTCGTTATGGACTACGCAGGGTTACGAAACCGGTCTCTCTTTCTCTCACATACATATGTACATATATGTATGTATACTTTCAGAATTTATGATCTGTTATTTGGACAATAGTAGAGTCGTGAGTTCAATAATTTTCATTCTATATTGTTACATACATACATACATACATATGTATATATATAACATATGTTTGTGTTTGTATATGTATATGTATATATGAATACATGCAGATATGTAAATATGCACAATATATGACGTTGATACACTGATATTATTATCATTATATACTATATGCATGTATGTATAGGTATATGCACATATCTATATCTGTCTCTCAAATATATATGCATCTACATATATATATATATATATATATATATATATATATATATATATACATGTGTAAATATATATGTATGTATGTGTGTATATATACATGTGTGTTTATTCATATATGTGCGCACATGTGTGTATATGTATGTATGCATATGTTTACATCAATACACACACATATACATGTGTGTAAAGTGTGTGCATATATATACATACATATATGTGCGTGTATGCATATGTATATATATATATATATATATTAGTTATATATATATATATATATATATATATATATATATGTACATAAACACACAAACACATATATATGTGTGCGTGTGTGTATATAGAGAATGTACTTGTGTGTGTATGTACAGTTGATATTTGTTAATGATAATTTAGCGAATACCTAAGCAGTGTATATAATTCATTTCGATTATTTTGAATGTTTTTTTTTATCTTGTGCTAAAATCTGACCATAAGTTTCGCTAATATTATTCCGTAAGTCGTGGCGTTTCTCTGAGTTGCATTCGGTCATCTGAGCGAGAAAATACATGTTTGCTTGTTTCTACTCGAGCAACCACTAGCTGGGTGGTTCCAAGTAGGGTGAAAAACAAGTCTAAAATTCTAGTTCATTCAGGTAAAATCAGAATTTTATCTCGCTCTCTACTTTTATCTGACTCGTGTGCAATTCATATTTCTTTTCTATTTGTTAGGGCATGTCAGAGCTTTGATAGGAACCATCTAGAAAATAAAATCACGAAATCGTATATTTGATACTCTTTATGATAATGAATTCCTGAATATTCATTTCGCGGCAAATCCTAATATATGCTAAACAAGAAAGAATATGGTATATGGCGTCATAATGGCATATGGGAAATCCAAGGTGAAAACGAGACTGCCAAGCTGACACCTTTTTTTCAAGATGGACGCAAGGCAGTCTGAAATTGCAAATAGAGGCTGCATCATTGGGATTAGGGAAAGTAAATTCTCTCCCAGTGAAATAACCTTAGAGCCGGGTATCTCCTGCTCGATGGTATACAGATGAATAAAGCGGGAGGAGGAGGGCACTCTGAACGACTGCCCTCGTTCACCAAGGCTAATCTAAAATTCATATAACGGTGAAGCAAACGACTACATACAGATAGGATTCATCACAGAACGTTATCAAAAAGAGGTTGAACAAACGACATGGGCAACATCGCCTCCAGTTCGCCCATTGCTGCATGAGAAATAATAGGTGTAGATATCATTATCCTTTTTCAATTTGTTCATAGGCTTAGTTCAAAATTTGATAAATATATATGTTTATACATTATAGTGCCCTATACGTGATATTTCATTTTCTGATTATCTATCATTATTCACCTCTCAAATCTGACAGACGATATATTTATGAAACGGCGAGATGGATTTTCATGCATGGTGTTGGTGAACTCGCCGAAAAAAGAAGGGAGATTCAGTTTAAAGAAATATTTTGAAATTGTTAGAAGAAATATTCCTCTCATCAGCACGTTGCTATCCTTTGGCCCTTCCCAGAAAAAAAAAACTGTCCAATACACACATCAAAGGCTGTTACGAAGTGGTTCGATGACCAAGACCACATGGAAGTCCTTCTGTAGCCAAGTGAGGCGTGTGACTCAAACACGATGAAAAATGTTTGGGCGAATATTGTCAATGTTTGGGAAACGGCTGGAAAAACAACAACAAAAAAACAATAGCTAACAGATCATGCTAAAAGGGAATGGAGTGTTACGGAGGAAAGCGGGACAACACGTCATCTCTGTCCCGGGGATTAGACAAGGTTTTTGAATAACGGTACATTGGTTTTATCATAAGTATGACTGCCCCCAGTATTGGACTTTTATTTCTACAATTATCATTTTAAAAAATGTCTTCAAAATTAATAAGCATCCTACCAATTATTCGTTTTCCTGGATCCCCGGCAAAAAAAGAAAGAAATATACATACATATATATACTTATTTATGTATATGTATATCTTTACATATTTTTTCTGTTAAATACATGTTATGGTATTTTGCGCGTGAACCAATGATTCTAAATAAAATGTTTAACAACTTCAGTTCCTCAGCACATACGCAAATTAACAGTCAGTGTAGCCATAGTACGGTTTTGTGTTCAGTTGCCCTAAACTGATAACAGCATATTTTCTGTATAATGAATCAGTGTTTGGATCTGACGAAAAGAAAACGAGTCATTTTATCAAACATATGAAAATAATATAAGAATACACAAGTATGACATCCTTATCTACACCTACGCATATATTGTAAACAGATGTGCATTGAGAAACAAAAGGAAATAAAGATTGAATAAATGACAATTAAACGTATAACACGAGATGAAGCGCACATTTCATCAGAACAAGATTTTTTTTCGAGATAATAGATATAGTACAGCACATGGGAGTAAATTTTTTGACTTGATATTAACCCTCTTTGGAACCACACACACACACACACACACACACACACACACACACACACACACACACACACACACACACACACACACATACACACACACAACTATAAAGCATCTATATACTCAATGTTTTGCGCCCATATTATGTTCTATAATGAAGAATATGTAGCATGTTTTCTGTTTATCTATTAAGTGTTTGGTGGCGAAAAATGTCATTAGTTCGATTAGCCGCTATTAGATGGTGTAGCCACGGTTCATGAGAAACATTTGCATAGGTATCAACGATTTTGCAAAGTTTTTTTTTTATTTGATTTAACTGCCATACATGGATATTGAAAGAATGAAGCATTTTCATGTTTCAAGAAATATGCAGCTATAATAGAAATTTATTGTGTTGAAAGAAGGGGTGCATACTTCCTCGCCTCCATAGGTTGTCATGTCGATGAACAAACAATTGTTGGAAATCGTATTAAAAAAAAAAAAAAAAAAAAAAATCCCACTACAAAGTCAATGATAGCTAATACTACATGTTTTTTGTTTGAAGAAAACGAAAGATGAAATGGCTTACGTAGTTTCCAAAAATAGATAGTAATGCACTTGTTGGTCACTTACATTCTACCAATCACACTCTTTCTTACAAACAGCCTAAGGTTTTCGACTCATTCATAAAAATACTATTTACGCCATGTTTGCATCGAAGTGGCTGCCAGATGTACAAAAGTGGGACCCAGCAAGTGTACTGAAATATAATTCCGCAGCTGTATATACATATTCACACACACATATATACATATGTATATATAATATATTATATATATGCATACATACTCTTCTGATACATATGTATGTATACATGTATGTGTGTGTGTACGGATACTATATATCATAGCGTCATCCACAGGATGCGGTAAATTGATACCTTACACTTTACACTGAATCTAGCAAAACTTTGGTCTGTAAATCGGTAATTGGTAGTGAAAATAAGTCTGAGAATTATGCAAATAAACGTTATAAGACTATCTTCTATATTAAAATGCTCATTTAAGGTAAGATAGCGGAGCCAGTAACGCAACAGACCTATACTTTATGTATGTACTATCAATTACAGCATTTCGAACTTCACAATGGCTTTTGGAGTTTATTTCCCATAGATAGACTTATTACATATGTATAGCGGATCCAAATGTTGGAAGAGTGTCAGTTATATTTTAGAGATCGCAGAATTTATGAAAAGGAAAATGATGGACATGATTCAAGGTAAAGGTCGTACGAAATGAAGGGGCGTGGCTACTAGACTCGTGAACTACAGTATAAAAGGGACTCGCTTGATGACTGGAGCATCACACTTCGTCTCTACCTCCAACATGTTCACTAAGGTGAGAAGTATTAGAAACCTAGCTAATTCTTATGATAAGTAATAGTTACAGAATAAATAATGGCGTCGTGTTCTGGATAACCATGGTATGTTTATGTGAATAGAAAAGAAAATAAATAATATATATTTCTTGCTTCTAGACTGTTGTTGCCCTCGCCCTCGTGGCCTTTGCTGCTTCTGCTCCGTCTCAGCCAGCTTACGGTTATGCTCCTCAGCCTACCTATGAGGTCTGGAAGATTAATAGAATTAAATGTTATAATACTAATGTTACTTTAATTGTAATTTATTATGTAACATCACTGTGTGATCCTAACTTTATGTAACTTTTCCAGGTCCCTGCCAAGTATGACTTCAACTATGCCGTGAAGGACGACTACTCCGGCAATGACTTCGGTCACCAGGAGGCCCGTGATGGCTATGACACTCAGGGTTCCTACTACGTTCTTCTTCCCGACGGTCGTCTGCAGAAGGTCGCTTACACTGTCAACGGCGACTCTGGATATGTGGCTGAGGTCAGCTACGAGGGTGAGGCTCAGTACCCTGAGTATCATCCTGCACCTGCCTACAAGCCTGCCCCTGCTTACAAGCCCGCACCCACTTACCATGCTGCACCTGCCTACAAGCCTGCCCCTACCTACGAGCCTGCTCCTACCTACGAGACCACCCCAGCCTACGCCTAAATGAGCATGTATTGAACATATTTTGCTAAGTATTTATTAAACGGAAATTCCACCAAACTTTATTTTTTTCCTTGTTAACTCTGAATGTAAGAAATGTTAGTAAGTCTACATTCATTGACATACACAATACTAAAGATTAGAATGAATAATAAAACAATGAATTCTCAGAATGAACGACACAGACATGAAATAATTTCATTCTCCCGTATTTAATTTAGATTGACAATTTTAAGTAATCAGGTTAAGATCAGTTTCACTTTCATCCTAAAGCCTAGAAGTGGTATGAAAACAATGTTGCTCAAGGGAGGAGCTTAATATTACTGGAGTTTGTATGCTATTAAAAGTCCAATGAGTTACGGCGGCGGTTATGCACATGTGGACATGCAAAGTTTTTATGCGTAAAACTATATACATACAAACAGAAACATCGTCCTATTCCTTCAGATATTCTCTAGGACAACCTCGAACACCTCTAAACGTCCCAAGCATGGTTTTCTCTCGCTCTCGAATCGCACATTTTGCTGCTGCCCTTCACCTGGGCCATGTATTTTTTCTACTCCCTTAATTTTAGCAGAGAGATGTGCACATGCATACACTCCGAAATTATCTACTTGTTTTCGAAATATCTGTGCATGTATGTATGTAGACACACGCATACCTACTATCTCTTATTTACCTAGATGTAGAAAAGATATGAATGAGAATGAATATCATTTCATATTCAATTTCTTCACACAAAATTAAATATTGTTTGATATAGGAAACTAATAAGACCTATGTCACAATCTTCCCCTAATACATTTTTCCATATATGTAATATGTATATATGTGCGTTTGTGTATATTTATGGAATATATAGATGTGTATGTGTGTGTGTCTGTATATATGCATATAAACTACCCCCTTCATACACACACATGCACATAAACAAATATATATGTGTATATGCATATAAACATCCTCCAATATATATATGTGTGTGTATACAACGCGTCTACGAACTCTAATTTTGAGAGATAAAATATCAGTTTCGGACTTTTAGTAAGTTGTCATGGATATTCACAGGGCATTTTTTCATCCACGTTAGACGACAAAAGAGACGATCCGAAGGCGGCCTAATTAACGTCTTCAAGGCGAAGGTCGCGGTGTCCGGACCGGAAGTAAGGGAAGGAATGTCTTCTATGTACGGTATGTATACGAGTAATTGTACGGCCACCGTAGCTGTCCCGCTTTCCAATGCTAGTCATATTTGAGCATCATTAAACCTTTTTTCCTGGCGAATTTTACCTCGAATTATATCTATCATCTCTCCCTCCATAAATAATATTTCTGCGTGTTATATTACTTATATATGAATATGTATGTATATATATATATACACATGTACAGACATGTACATGTATATAAATGAATATATATATACACACACATGTATATATATATACACATACACATATAAGTATATATATACATACACATAGTATAATTATATATGTATATACATGTATACATATGCATACCCACAACATACATACACATGTGCATAACATATGTATATATATATATTCAAATACACACATATACATACATTTATATATATATATATATATATATATATATATATATATATTCATATATATGTTTATATGTATTTATGTGATTTTCAAATTCTATAACACATATATATGTGATATATATGTATAGATATGTTTATATTGTGTGTATGTATGTAGTATGTATATATATACACGCATATTTTCAAAGACACTTATATATGTATATGTACATATGTATATATATTCATGTATGTGTTTCAAAGAAATAAAATATACATACACATATATATGTAATATGTATGGATGTATATAGAATATATGTAGGTGTATGTTTATGTCTAACCCCCCTTCCACACACACATACATACAATATGTGCCTGTATATACATATAAACTCCCTCCACATGTATATGTGTATATATGTATGTGTGTGTGTGTGTGCGTGTCTGTGTATATATACATACATAAATACAATATACAAAATATACATATATACAATAACTATTCAGTGTCTGTCTATTCATGAATTCATCCTGTCCGCGGAAAACTCTATTTTAGAGATAAAATATGATGAGACGATCCGAAGGCAGCCAAATTAACACCTTCAAGGCGAAGGTCGTGTCCGGACCGGAAGGAGGGGAAGGCATGTCTTCATGTATGTATGTATGTATGTATGTTCGGCCGCCGTATGTCAGTGGGACAGCTGTTCCGCTTTGCAATTCTAAACACATCTGGACATTATTGAGTTGTTTGCTACAACGTCATAATACTGTATTTAAACGTTCACGGATATAGTAGTCACAACCCATTTTCAGGCGAACTTTTCATTAAATTATATACACAATCTTCTTTAACTTATATTTCTGCTATCTGTATAATTTTTAAATGTAAAAAAAAAAACACACATACACACATGTATATATATAAACACACACACGCATATATAAATATATAGATAAATTAAAAAAATATATATACATACATACATACATGTATGTATATATAAATGTAAACATATACAGAGATATAGAAATCGGGAAAGATACAGTAGATATAAATTTCCAAAAGTTATTCACACGCATACACACATATAGCACACACACAGACATTCATACACGCATACATACATGCATATATATATATATATATATATATATATATATATATATATATATATATATATATAAACATATATGTGCATAAACAAATTGGTGTTGGACTACAAAAAGACATCTTGAATATTAAAATTCAGTACTTTGAGTGGCTTTACTATTGTACTACCGAATAAGCAATCCATCCAGTCATTTAATTCAAATGTTTATTTCAAAACATACAGGATATTTTTCCAACAAAGTGATCGGATTAATATCTTCCACGAGGAAAGTCGCGGTGTCTGGAATTGAAAGTAGGAGAAAGTTGCGTCTTATATTTATCTATGTATTTATGTATGTATGCATCTGCACTATGTGCATAACAGCAGTCGTAACTCACTAGGACCACATTTCTACTTCAATATATGTTTCACTTATAACAACACAACTATTATTATTATTATATATGTTTTTTTAATGAAGAAAGCGAGATGGATACTGACCCGAACATCATGAATTACCATCCTCAATTCTATTATGGAGGCGGTGGTTCATATCAGTGTTTTTCTCTTGAGATCTATAATTTGTCAATGGTCAAGTATGCCCTCTATGGATATACAGCACTATGTGAACGTGCCAACATTTGTCAAGAAATGTGTAGCCTGGCTAATATTCCTTAGCGGGGAAAAATAGACTTTACTATAATTTCAGTTTAATAAATATTAAAAGTATTTTTTAAAGTGAAGTTTTCATTTAGGCGTAGATTGGGGTGGTCTCGTAGGTAGGAGCAGGCTCGTAGGCAGGGGCAGGTTTGTAGACAGGTGTAGGCTTGTAGGCAGGTGCAGGATGGTAAGGAGCAGGCTTGTAGGCAGGTGCAGGATGGTAAGGAGCAGGCTTGTACTCGGGGTACTGAGCCTCACCCTCGTAGTTGACCTCAGCCACGAAACCGGAGTCGCCATTGACAGTGTAAGCGACCTTCTGCAGGCGACCGTCGGGAAGAAGAACGTAGTAGGAACCTTGAGTGTCGTAGCCATCACGGGCCTCCTGGTGACCGAAGTCGTTGCCGGAGTAGTCGTCCTTCACGGCATAGTTGAAGTCGTACTTGGCAGGGACCTGGATAATTTGAACAGAATTAGAAATAGACCATACTAGATTTCCGACCATAAAATAACAATATTATACCAATGCAGTGATATTACTATTTCTGTTAATTCAGTGTTTATATTTATACAAACCTCATAGGTAGCCTGAGGAGCATAGCCATAGCCTGGTTGAGATGGAGCAGAGGCAGCAACGGCCACGAGGGCGAGGGCAACGACAGTCTAGAAGAAAAAAGCGTATTATCATGAGACCCTTTCTTTTTATGCACATTAATGCCACTGTTATAAATCCATGCTGAAGCTCTATCCGATCATAAATCTGAAAACCTGTTACCTTAGTGAACATGGTGGAAGTAAACGAAGTGTGATGCTCCAGTCATTAAGCGTGTCCCTTTTATACCATAGTCCACGAGTCCAGTAGTCACGCCCTTTTCTTCGTGCGACCTTTACCTTGAATTAGATCCATCTTCCTTTCCATAAATGACCATTCTGCTGTTTGTAAAAGGAAATTCTTCTATCTAGTATATATGAAACATAAGCATATATGTACATACGTAAAACACACACATATATATACACACAATCTTATATATTAATATATATATATATATACATATATATGCATATATATATATACACTAGATGGGTACTATATATACACACACAAATATATAGTAAACACATATATAGATGTATATATATACACACACATATATATATATTATATTTATGTAAACACATGTAGGGACCTTCGTTCTTGAACACATATCTGTTTATATAATCTACGGTCGGCGTTTTTATTAATGTACCGACATAATCTTGGGGAACGTGATGTCGACCGACAAGCAGTTGTGTTAACAAAGCTGAAAATCGGGCTCACAAGACTCTATTAGTTTCCTAAGGGAGACTGATATTAAAAAACAAACTAATAATGCATCATATTTATGCAATAAATGTATAAATTTAAGGTATAATTTAATATAATATGATTTAAAATATAGTATCTATTATTTATTTTTACTTATAGGAAACATTATTTTAACAGATTTTTTAAACGTTTTAAACGGCATTCGCTACTAATGACCTTTGCTGTTGACGCGGCAGATAATTCTAAGTAATTATAATCGGCTTGGCATATAAAAAGAAATTCTATATATATATAGACTTATACACACGCACACATACACATATATGTATATTGGAATTCACAAAGCATTATATATATTCATATTTTTTTTTAAATAACCAAACAGGTGTTACAATACAAAATAGCATATCAAATATCAAAGGCCTTTTCAATTACTAATGGCTGGATCTACTGCTATACTACCAATTTATCTAATCATAAATCAAATTGTGTTCATTTTAACATAATTCAGATTTTTTTTAGATTTATTTCAAAGATATGTATCAATCATAATATTATGTATTAATATTTTGTGTAAAGAAGTTGAAGATGATTGTTTTTTTTTTTTTATTTATTCATATGTTTCGGATTGCCGCATGCATCATCTATATATTGGCATATTGGTAGATAAATAGATAGATGGTAAGCGTACGTGCGTCTACACATATACAGTACTTGCACAGATATTTCGAAAACAAGATATTCTTGGAGTATATGCATGTGTACGTCTCTCTGCTAAAATTTAAAGAGGGGACAAAATACATGGACCAGGTAAGGGGCAACAAGAAAAGCGCGATTCGAGAGAGAAAATCAGCTTGGGACATTTAAGCTTGTCGCCCACCAGATCGGAAACGACGCGTCGGAACGGACACGAAGCATCGGAAAAAAATCTAAACCATACATTTGAACGAGCTAACGCCCACCTGATCGGATCGGAAACGAAACGACGCGTCGGATCGGAACGGAAACGACGCGGATATTTTGGAAAGAATATTTTTCTGATGCTTCCGATGCGTCCGAGAGACTGCACATGCGCAGAACGGTGATTGGAGAGGAGGTGATGCATGAGCGTGGCTGTGACGGGCAAACAGCACTTACGTGTGGTGTGATAGAGGTGTACATAAGTTGTATGCATGCATATAGTTGTATGCATGTATATAGTTATTTCCTGTTCGGAATCATTCGCTTATGCTTTACCTCCTCCTTCGTCTCGAGCTATCTCATTCGAATGATGGATTTACTTTCTTTTCATATTTTTTCTTACATTAATTAACGCGAAGAGTAGCATTTTACATTAATTAATATTATCACTCATTTTAGTATTTAGTAGGGAATTACGCCAGAGCTGCGGCACCTTTCTATGTCGAGGTACTCTCAAGACTGAAAGATAAACATAGCACCCGCGTCGTTTCCGATCCGTCTGAGCTGGTGGGCGTACTCAACGTCGTGTCGTGTCCGTTCCGAGGCTTCGTAAGCTTCCGCGGCGTTTCCGATCCGATCTGGTGGGCGACAAGCTTTAGAGGTGGTCGAGGGTGACCTACAGGGTGTCTGAAGGAATAGGACCGAATTTCTCGTTACTGCGTGGTCAATGGTAGAATGAGAAGAGACCAGAGAAAGTAATCAGATTAATATCCTCAAGGCGAAGGTAGCGGTGCCTGAAACCGGAAGTAAGGTAGAAACGTGTCTTTCCGTTTGTATGTATATATTTTTACATATAAAACTATGCTTATGCACAGCTGCACAACCGCCGCCGTAACCCACAGGAATCTTGCATCCACTTTTCAGTATCAAATAAATTTCAGTAACATCTAGTAACTACATTCTTCTGTTATTAAGTTTAATCTTCAATACAGTGCATGTCGATATGTGTAGACTTTCTAACATCTATCATATTCAATGTTAATAAGGAGAAAAATAGAGTTAAGTAGAATTTCCGTTTAATAAATACTTCGCAAATTATGTTCAATAAAAGCTCATTTAGGCGTAGGTTGGGGTGGTCTCGTAAGTAGGAGCAGGCTCGTAGGCAGGGACAGGCTTGTAGACAGGTGCGGCATGGTAGGTGGGTGCGGGCTTGTAAGCAGGGGCGGGCTTGTAGGCAGGAGTAGGATGGTACTCAGGGTACTGAGCCTCACCCTCGTAGCTGACCTCAGCCACATATCCGGAGTCGCCGTTGACAGTGTAAGCGACCTTCTGCAGACGACCGTCGGGAAGAAGAACGTAGTAGGAACCCTGAGTGTCATAGCCATCACGAGCCTCCTGGTGACCGAAGTCGTTGCCGGAGTAGTCGTCCTTCACGGCGTAGTTGAAGTCATACTTGGCAGGGACCTGGAAAAGAATAAAATTAGAAACAATCCGTATCAGATTTCCAGCCACAAAAAGTATTATGCCTATACAGTGAAATTACTATTATTATTAATTTGTTTTTCAACTTTATACAAACCTCGTAGGTAGGCTGAGGAGCATAGCCATAGCCTGGTTGGGAAGGAGCAGAGGCAGCAACGGCCACGAGGGCGAGGGCAACGACAGTCTAAAAGAAAGTAACGTATTATTACAAGATCCTTTCCTTTAATTAATGTTAATGTCAGTTATTCGTAGTATGACGCTATTACATCCATGAAGAAAGCTATTATCCTATCATAAATCTGAAAACCTGTTACCTTAGTGAACATGATGGAGGTAGAAGTGTGATGCTCCGGTCATCAAGTGAGTCCCTTTTATACCGCAGTCCATAAGCCCAGTAGTCACGCCCTTTTCTTCGTGTGACCTTTACCTTGAATTACATCCATCATCTTCCTTTCCATAAATGACCATTCTGCTGTTTGTAAAAAGAAATTCTTTAATGTAGTATATTTCTATAACATATAAACATATATATGTACGTATATATACATAAATACGTAATAAAACGCACACACATATGTATGCACTCACGAGCATGTGTATATATATATATTGGATATATATATATAAGTAAATTGTATACATATATGTATGTATATATATATATATGTGCATACACACACATATATATGTGTCTATATATACTGAAAATAAATAATAATTTATATATATATATGTATATATATATATATATATGTTGTCTGTGCGAATATATATATATGTATATATATATATGTTGTCTGTGCGAATATGTATATATATGTATATATCTATATATATATATGATGTATGTGCGTATATGTATATATATACACACACACACACATATATACACATTTACATGTAGGGATGTATAATACATACTTTTGTTTATATAATTCACGGTCAGAGTCAATCCCTGTATGACAACAGTGGCGTTTTTGTTAATGTATTGACCCCATCTTAGGGTGATATCTGCCGACATGTACTTGTGTTAACCAGGCTGAGAATCGGGCACACAAGATCGACTAAAAGATGATGGCTAAAAGTGAAGCACTTTGTGAGGAATGCCAAGAGCCATTAACGGTCGCACATGTAGTGTGAAGATGTGCAGCATTCTCAGACGAAAGATGTGTGTAATTGTCTCCCCCATATTTACTGAAAAATGTTTTGCGAGGATTATGACATAGAAGGTCTTATCCGTTTCCTAAGGGAGACTAATAAAAAAGTATGCATAATTTTTACGCTATATAGATATATATACACATTAAAAAAAAAAAAAATAAAGCATTGTTATTTATATTATTTATATTGTTATTTATTTTTAATTACGGAAAACATTATTTCTTGGTAGATTTTTAAATGATTTAAATTTTAACATTTTCATCCTTCAAGTTATTCGCCGATAATAAATAACCTTAGCTGTTGATACGGAAGATAATTCTAAATATTTAATTAATTATTATCGGTTTGGCATATACGAAAGGAATTATATATATATTTGTGTGTGTGTGTGTGTGTGTATTTGTGCGTGTATGTGTATGCGTGTATATTGAAATTCACAAACATAATTATTTTCCATTTTTTTTTAAATAATCAAACAGATGTTACAATACAAAATGGCATATCAAATATCATTATTGGATCTACTGTATTACTGTCAACTTAGCAATAATTATTAAGTTAATTATTTTTAAGATGGAATAAAGCAATGCCGCATTGATATAGAAATTTAACAATCCTCCCTGACCTGGCCTCCAACCTAGGTCACTCTGGGTGACCAGAGTTATATGTGTTCCTTTTAACACAATCATAATTTATCCCAATGATACATATTGCCGTATTATGGTAATCTATGCATCATCTTCACATAAGTATATAGGAAAAGAAAGAGATAGATAGTAACTATACGTGTGTGTGTTCAAATTTATTTTCATAGATATTTCGAAAATCAATAGATGATATTTTTGGAGTGTGACTATACATATGAGCGTTTCTCTTTTGTGCACTGGGCACAAACAAATATTGCGCTTCGAGAGAGAGAAAATATGATGACCAGATTCGTTGCCGGAATGGTCGTCCTTAACGGCATAGTTAAATTGTACTTGACAGGAACCTAAATAAATATCGACTTGACATGTTCTTATATAATCATACGAAATACTATATGCATAGGTTTCCGGAGGAGTATATCCATATTTGTGGATGTATGTGTATATACATGCGTAAATTTATGTATAAACCGTATGTGTGCATAAATGCACATATGTATTTATTCGTGGGTGAGTGTGCGCGGTGCAAAGTACATAATGTATATGGATATAATGGTCTCTAATTCAGTTATATAGAAATCCACTATATTATCTGGAGGTCCAGAGGAAAACTCAGTATCTGTTAACACACTTTATTGTTAAGCAGACACGTAGTAACGGAGATATATATTGGTAGTCGTGAACGTGGCAGACAGGGCGTCGGCTTCCTACGGGAGGCAAGAAGGGGAAGGTTTTGCTTGTATGAGGCCGTGACTCGTTCTGGCTGTTCCTGGAGACACTGGGTCATATTTCCCTTGCCCTGCCGAGGGTCACAAACATATGTGTAGTAAGAGAAGTAGATAGAAATAATCCTGAATGCACTAAGGGATTGTCACGAATAATATTCAACTCCACTAAAGACGATACGTCATTCGTACCACAATGAACATGTTGATGATGACAGATCGAATGTGATGCTTCAGCCACAACAGCAATAAAGCGTAAATTTGTTGAACTAAAGTGGGAGGAGGAGGATTCCTTAGTGGAAATTGAAAAAAACAAACAAAAAAACAATGAGTAGTAAAGAGGATGGGTGAGACCCCTTGCGTGGTGTTTTCTTTTGGTTTCTCATCACTGTGTGGAGGGTTGGAAGGCGTATTTTTAGTTGGTTAATTATTATAGAGCCAGGTCTTTTTCTGTATGCCATGTGTTATTATCAGTTAAGAAACTGCTCCTGTTATAATAAATCAAGGAGCAGTCGATTTTTAACCTTACCCCTCCAGGTCCTAGTCTTCGGGCTAATACAGTGGTAACATGTCGACTTCTCATCCGATTGTTCAGCGGTGCGCTTCTCGCTCAGGCACAAGAAATTTCAACTGCTGTCTGGAGGTTACTGATGTAGTTAGGTTGGGTTGGGTTGGTGGGTAAAGACTAAGCTCGTCGATTCAGCACCGTTGATCGAGTCGACATTGGTAGACACAGGCTCCCCTCATAGGTATAGCCCGGGCGAGGCTCAGCTTCGCATATTGAACTTATCCTAATCCTCAGCCCCTCCTTTTTCTTCCCCTGACTGACTTACACCTTGGTACTGGCGAACGAAAGCAGTTTACGCTAGTTCGAATTATGGGTGAAGTCGACTGTGAGATATTATTCCATGAAAGCAAAATCACGTGTTTCTATGTATATATCTGCAGATAGACACACAAACAAGCGCACAGACTGACAAACACACACACAGATGTATGCATATATATTATACATATATAAATATATATGTATACAGACATACAAATATATATGTATGTGTATGTATACCTGTATATATATGTGTGTGTGTGCATATATGTATGTACGTATATGCCTATGTATACACATATGTGTGTGTATATATGCACACCTATATATGGACATATATATGATATATATTTATATGTGTATGTAAACGTACATATTAACAAATTTATGCTCTGACTGTTACTGATGAATATATGCTTGTATATTGTAAATAGTTAAACAGTGCGACATACACAATCGATGGCTATAAAAAGGCGTGCCCATGTATATGCATGCTTTGTTTTTGTGTGTGATTTTTTTTCTCTTCATCGTTGTCTTGTCTTTTTTCGATGACCTTTCAGAGAAGTAGAATAGGGATAGGGTTCTATGAAATACAAAGTCGCAAATTCATTCATAGTTATTAAAGGAAACTATTACGTTCGTCGTTTCTCAGGTAAAGGTCGGCTGGATTGTGGAAGGGGAGGCGGAGCAGTGTTTACGAGTCACGTAATACAGAAGGCAACGGCTCGAAGCCTGATTCATCTCGATCGATCTTCTATTTTGTTCACTAATTTGACTTTTTTTTCTTTTTTATTCCTTCTTCATAATATATCTAATTTCAAATATAAAATTGATTAAAAAACATTACTAACTCCTTAAATGTTAGAATTTATTAATTGTTCATGTTTCTTCATATCTCTTAAATTTTCAAGTGAACGATCATTATTTTTTTGTTTACATATACTTAATTGTCATTGTGTCTGTACACATATATCATATGACGTACGTGTGTTTGTGTGTACGTGTGCGACTTCGACTGCACCGTTAAGAACTCGGGAACTACTTCGGTCATCAGGAACTCCGTGATGGTTATAACACCTATAACACCAAGGGTTTCTACTACGCCCTGCTACCCGACGGTCGCTTACAGGTCGCCTATATTCTCAACAGCAACCTTGGTTAAGTGGCCGAGGTCAGCTACGAAGGTGAGGCCCAGAATCCTGAGTACAGCTTACAAGCCTGCTCGTACCTGCAAACCCGCCCATGCTTACGTCTAAATATAAAAAGTAGAATACATTATTGATGGGTATTCATCAAACGACATTTGTAGTATTTATATGCCTCAACTACCAGAACAGGAAACTGGATATCCATGTGTAGTAATTTTAAATTCAACCTAAACACCACGATGGAAATGTTACCATTTAATTTTTTTTTTTTTTTTTTTTTGCATAAGCATATTGCCAACCTGAAGATTAGCCGTCTATAGAAAAAAGTTATAGAGTATAAGGATACTGAAAGATACACGTATCTTTATTGTTTTATATATATGTATTTTTGTTTACTTTGTGTTAAGGCTTTAGGGTGGAAATTGGCTGAAAGGTTATACCGTAACTAAACTGTGCATAATTTCTATATACGTGAAATATTACATGGTTTATTTTTTAATAGAAAATGTATTCCAAATAAGAGAGGTAGACTAAATTCAGATCGTCCATAAGATCGTTGACTTATACACTGGAACTGAAATTAGAAAATAATAAGTAGGAGAATATGGCGTAGAAAATCTTATCACTTGAGGTTATTTTTCCTTTTGAAGAAAAATATTACATGTATATAGGTATATATATACATACATGTATGTATATATAGATATATATAGACACATACACACATATGTAAACAGACATATGCACACACAAACACATACTCTTTTCATGAAAAAACTTTGCATAATTCACATTCCTCCAGTCTTCAGTGAAGATGATGATGAAGATGAAGAATGTAATATGTTAAACTCCTTTTTTCCAGCTGACTAGATTTTATTCTGTATTCCGCCCATCCACCCCTCCGCCACGCTCTCCGCCACCGGAAACAGCTTCTTGCACAAGAAAGCCTGCAGTGGATATATTACCGAGGGTTCCAGCTACGTCGTCCTGCTTCTCGACGGTCATCTGGGATTTCAACTTCTTGGATGAGGATAAACTACGAGGATGAAGCCCGGTTCACCGAGTACAAGTTAACCCATGTCTATAGCTAAATGAATTCTGAACATATAAGCGCCGAACAGCTGTAAAACTATTTTCTTTTTCTTTTTTGTTGAGATTTGTGTTTATCAATCATATGATAATCTCGTCCGCGTATCTCTTCATTATGAATATATATATATATATATATATATATATATATATGTACATATATACGTATGTATATATATATGTATATATATATGTAAGGATATATATACGTATGTATGTATATAAAATATATACACATATATATGTGTATATGAATATGTACATGCATATATGCGTATGTTTGTACGAAATTACTGTAATTACGAATATACTCTATAAATCTTGGGAAATGTTTACGATTCATGAATAATAGAAGGCATAAAATTGTATTTGAAATCGGCTCAGGAATACACACACGTTTGTGTGTGTGTAAACTGAATATATATATATATACATATATATATATATATATATATATATATATATATGTATAGATATATACATACAGACATACATATATACATACACGTGTGTGTATGTGTGTGTTCGCGTGTATACAGAGAGCGGGGGAGAGATTAATATATATATATATATAAACATGGTAAATAAATAGACTTGCTGTTAACAGTTTCTAATAATTAAAATCAAATATGTGATTTAGGTGTTTGCAATGGCTTTTTATTGATCACCGATAAAGCACCACAGTATATGATGTATACAATCTGCTCGTTTCCTTCTCTCTATTCATCGATGACCCAACAGTGACACTCGTGAGGAACAGAATAACTGCACTAATTTACATCGGTCCAGATGCTAATTACTTACACTTCGGATGTACGTAATTACAATGAACTTCTTGCTTTCGCTCCTCCCAAGGTGAAGGAGGGTTAGAGGGTGGAAAGGGGCGTGGCGGATGGGAGTGGCTGGGCGAAACACAAAGTATAAAAAAGTAGTTAACCGGAGTTTAAAGTTTCAAATTCTTCACCTTCATCAAATTCCCTGAGGTTCAAGAACTGTGTTAAGGTTTTGAATTTACTTTTCTTTTAGAATTATGCACAATTTCCATTTCGTTATTTCTAGTCTATTTTTTTCGTGTTTACTTTCAGACCGCCGTCGCTCTCGCCCTTGTGGCTGTCACTTTGGATGCTCCTCCAGCAACTTATGACGTAAGCGTTATTCGTGTATGATAATAATTATCTGTGGACAAGTGATGAATACATTTTGCTTTGTATTTATAGTACATGATAAAAATCTTTGAAAAAGTGACAAACTTTTATTTTATAAATTTTATTTTAGGGTCCTGTTCAATATGGCTCCAACTACGCTGTAAAGGACGACTACACCGGTAATGACATCAAGACACCCGTAACGGCTATGACACTCAGGTTTCCTACTACATTCTCCTTGCCGACGGCCGTTTGCAGGTCGCCTACACTGTTAACGGCGACTCAGTCTACGTGGATGATGCCCAGTACACTGAGCACCATTCCGCTACTGCTTACATATATATATATATATATACATATATATACATATATATATACGTACACACACAAGCACACACACATACCGATAGATATAGAGAGAGATAAGTAAATATACATATATATATATATATGTATGTATGTATTGACTTTTCTTGGTATGATCTCTCTTATGAACTTTATATAATTGATAACTTATATAAGAAAGCACTAATTGTGTTAAGATAAAGAGACAACTTTTACCAGGAACATCAATCATTAGGGGAATCTTTGGAGATCTTGTACGATATAAACCCATACTATGGATCATGCTACAGACATACGGGGTAACGTGGTGAAGTGCTCGACAGCAAGAGTGAGCATGAAGATAAATCACGATAAATTGAGAGGAAATTGAACTCGAACTCGATCTGACTACATTTTCTTGTGAGGGTAGAATCTGACATAAAAAATAATGATAGACATACTTTACACCAAAAATCATAAATCTAATCATTAGTACATATTTTTTTTCCCTGTTACAAGGTGAAATAGATATTTTTCTTAGGTAGCATGGAATTTTAAATTCCTCATGCGCAATACACGAAAATTAGTTACAATGGCAGTGTACATCTTTCTTTTAAATATACTGGTTATTTTTTCATGAAAAGGATGCGTGTATACATGTGTTTATATATATATGTGTATATACATATATCTACTTGTATGTATATAGGTAATATGTTTATTTTTTAAAATAAAAAAATAGCCTCAAGCGATATTTTTTTTGCGCCATATTCTCCTAATTTGAGCTGCAGTGCATGATTCAACGATCTTATGAGCGATCTGCATTCACTATACCTCTTATTTGAAATATATATTTTAATGAAAACATTAAACCATGTGATATAAAGAAATTATGTAACCCTACCGTCAATTTCCACTCTGAAGCCTTGGATGTAAGTTGACTTCATTATCATATTCTGCACCACAGTTGGCCATAGTTTTAAATATGGAACCGGAAAACTTTACGATTCAAAAGTTTCATTGGTGTATCTAGAGGTCTATTTAGGCGATATTCAAGTTGGGGCTTTTGAAATGAATACATTGCTGTGTTGGCTTATCCACGCTTTCATATTTGTTTAGTCTGAAAAAAGTTACCAAGATTTACGTTCAACAGATGTCTGTCTTTAAAATCTCAGCCTATATATTTGAACCAAGCATGTAGAGACAGCTTACTACATTCTTTGTTAGTTTGTTTATGATTATTATTTTTTACGATATAATTATCTTCAACATTTGCCTCGAGCCTTAATGTAGTGAAATTTAACGTCCTAAAATCTATTGATTATATGTATTGTGTCCCTACGATATACCACAGTGAAGAATTCCTTTATAAAGATGATAGTATGGTCAGTTATAGAAAGGGAGATAATGGTTATAATTCGAGGTAAAGGTCACGTGGAGGAAAGGAAGGAAAAGGGCGTGTCTGCTAGACTCATGGACTGCGGTATAAAAGGGACTGGCTTGATAACCGGAGCATCACACTTCGTCTTCCTTCATCATGTTCACAAAGGTGAGAAAACCAAGTGTCTTAATTCAGGTTTACAATGAAAAGTGATGCAATAGTGTTATATTCATGATTTGTTGGTGTGCTTAATAAGGAACTAGTGATATAACATATGTCTCCTAGGCTGTCGTTGCCCTCGCCCTCGTGGCCGTTGCTGTCTGTGCACCTTCTCAACCAGCTTACGGCTACGCTCCTCAGCCTACCTACGAGGTTTGTGAAATGTTGAAATTTAGATTTATTATATCATTAGCACTGTTACAGTAATAGCATGTTAACATATGATCTATATGATCCTAACTTCGTGAAACTTTCCCAGGCCCCTGCCAAGTACGACTTCAACTATGCCGTGAAGGACGACTACTCTGGCAACGACTTCGGTCACCAGGAGGCCCGTGATGGCTACGACACCCAGGGTTCCTACTATGTCTTGCTTCCCGACGGTCGTCTGCAGAAGGTCGCCTACACTGTCAACGGGGACTCCGGTTACGTGGCTGAGGTCAGCTACGAGGGTGAGGCTCAGTACCCCGAATACAAGCCTGCCCCTGCCTACAAGCCTGCCCCTGCCTACAAGCCTGCTCCTGCCTACAAGCCTGCTCCTTCTTACCAGCCCGCACCTGCCTACAAGCCAGCTCCTTACCAGCCTGCTCCTACCTATGAGACCACCCCAGCCTACGCCTAAGTGAATTTCGATTAAATAAACATTTATGAATATTTATTAAACTGAAATTCTAGTAACATCTATTCTTTCCCCGTGTTACCGTCAAATATAAAATATTTTTTTGTAAATCTACATATTACTCAGATTACTTATGATATCTTCTAGAGAATGCATTCTTCATAATCGAAAAATGACAGTAGCTACTGACAAAAACATGAATTAACCTCAGCCTTCCATATATAATTTAAAAGGATTATTTCAAATATATCTTCATAGATACAAGACAAACACAAAATTGTTTAAATGAGTAGCATTCCTGGGATAAATGCATTATAGCGCTTGCAGTAAATCAGTTGATAGTGCTAAAAGCAATAAAAAATATAGAACTGCAAAGTAGAAATGCGCTACGACTGAGCTACGACGCTATGCACACAGTACACATATATACGTACATATGTGCATATAAAGAAAGGGCACGCTTTTCCTCTGACCTTCGCCTTGAAGATGCTTTCCCAGTTACCGCCTACCCTGATCTCATCTTTATCTTGTTTTCGACCACGTGGGGTAACGAAACCGGTTTCTCTCTCTCTTACACACATATATGTACATATGTGTGTGTATACTTTCAAAATTTATGATATGTTATTGGGACAAAAGTATGGTCGTCAGTAGTTCAATAATTTTCATTTTATATTGTAACATGTAAAGCATATATATGTATATGTGTTTGTATATGTATATGTGTATATGCATACATGCAGATACATATAAATAACTGCAAGCATATATGCTTATTTCATGCATACCGTACCAAAAACACAACATATGACGTTGTAGGATAATACACTACACTACGTTGTAGGATAATACACATTCAAACATCTACATGTATATATATGTATATATACACACACATGTATACATGTGTGTATATATATGTATATATACACACACATGTATACATGTGTGTATATATATGTATATATACACACACATGTATACATGTGTGTATATATATGTATATATACACACACATGTATACATGTGTGTATATATATGTATATATACACACACATGTATACATGTGTGTATATATATGTATATATACACACACATGTATACATGTGTGTACATATATGCGTTTGTTTATATACGTGTGCGTGTGTATATACATGTACGTATATGTGTACATAAATATACACACAGACGCACACATATATACATGTGTGCATATATACATGCATACATATATGTCCGTGTATGTATATTTGTATATACATATATGTGTGTGTACATAAACACACATACACATATATGTATGCGTGTGTGTATGTAGAGAATGCACCTGTGTGTGTATGTACATGTATATTACTATTCACACACACACACACACACACAAACATATATAGTATATTGTATGCATATTTGTATATACATATATGTATGTGTGTGTACATAAACACACATACACATATATGTATGTGTGTGTACATAAACACACATACACATATATGTATGTGTGTGTACATAAACACACATACACATATATGCATGCGTGTGTGTATATAGAGAATGCACGTGTGTGTGTATGTACATGTGTATTACTATTCACCCACCCGCACATATATATATAGTATATCATATATATGCGTAAATACTAATGTGCATTTGTGATATATATATGTATATGGGTGTTTGTATGTACGGACACCGTATATCATAGCGTAATCTGACGGATACGGTAAATTGATGTCTTACACTTTACAATGAATCTAACAAAATGTTTGTCTGTAAATCGGTATTTGGCAGTGAAAATAAGTTTGAGAATTATACAAATGAATATTATAATACCATCTTTTATATCAAAATGCTTTTTTTTTTTTTTGAAGGAAGACAACAGAGCCAGTAATGCAACAAAAGTGTTATTTTGTATGTACAATCAGTTACATTATTTCGAACTTCACAATGCTTTTTGAAGTTTATTTCATATAAACAACTAACTACATATACATAGCGCATCTAAACGTTGGTTCAGTGTCAGTTATATTTTAGAGATCGCAGAATTTATGAAAAGGAAGATGATGGACATAATTCAAGGTAAGGGTCGAACGTAATGAAGGGGTGTGGCTACTAGACTCGTGGACTACGGTATAAAAGGGACTCGCTTGATGACTGGAGCATCACACTTCGTCTCTACCTCCAACATGTTCACTAAGGTGAGAAGTATTAGAAACCTTGTTAATTCCTTATTCACGATAAGAGATAATTCCAGTATAAATAATGGTGTGTTCTGGGTAACCATGGTCTGTTCATGTGAAAAAATCGTAATATATATATTTCTTTCTTCTAGACTGTCGTTGCCCTCGCCCTCGTGGCGTTTGCTGCCTCTGCTCCGTCTCAGCCAGCTTACGGTTATGCTCCTCAACCTACCTACGAGGTCTGTAGGATTTTGAGAATAAAATCCATTATAATACTAATGTTACTTTAATTTTAATTCATTATTTTATTATACAATTGTATGATCCTAATTTTGTGTAACTTCTCCAGGTCCCTGCCAAGTATGACTTCAACTATGCTGTGAAGGACGACTACTCTGGCAACGACTTCGGTCACCAGGAAGCCCGTGATGGTTACGACACCCAGGGTTCCTACTATGTCTTGCTTCCCGACGGTCGTCTGCAGAAGGTCGCCTACACTGTCAACGGCGACTCAGGTTACGTGGCTGAGGTCAGCTACGAGGGTGAGGCCCAGTATCCCGAGTACAAGCCTGCTCCTGCCTACAAGCCTGCCCCTGCCTACAAGCCTGCTCCTGCCTACAAGCCTGCTCCTTCTTACCAGCCCGCTCCTGCCTACAAGCCAGCTCCTTACCAGCCCGCACCTACCTATGAGCCTGCTCCTACCTACGAGACTACCCCAGCCTACGCCTAAATGAACTTCGATTAAATAAACATTTATGAATATTTATTAAACTGAAATTCTAATAACATCTTTTCTTTCCCCGCGTTTACGTCAAATATATATATATTTTTTTGTAAATCTACACATTACTCAGATTACCTATGATATCTTCTAGAGAATGCATTCTTCATAATCGAAAAATGACAGTAGCTACTGACATAAACATGAATTAACCTCAGCCTTCCATATATAATTTAAAAGGATTATTTCAAATATATCTTCATAGATACAAGACAAACACAAAATTGTTTAAATGAGTAGCATTCCTGGGATAAATGCATTATAGCGCTTGCAGTAAATCAGTTGATAGTGCTAAAAGCAATAAAAAATATAGAACTGCAAAGTAGAAATGCGCTACGACTGAGCTACGACGCTATGCACACAGTACACATATATACGTACATATGTGCATATAAAGAAAGGGCACGCTTTTCCTCTGACCTTCGCCTTGAAGATGCTTTCCCAGTTACCGCCTACCCTGATCTCATCTTTATCTTGTTTTCGACCACGTGGGGTAACGAAACCGGTTTCTCTCTCTCTTACACACATATATGTACATATGTGTGTGTATACTTTCAAAATTTATGATATGTTATTGGGACAAAAGTATGGTCGTCAGTAGTTCAATCATTTTCATTTTATATTGTAACATGTAAAGCATATATATGTATATGTGTTTGTATATGTATATGTGTATATGCATACATGCAGATACATATAAATAACTGCAAGCATATATACTTATTTCATGCATACCGTACCAAAAACACAACATATGACGTTGTAGGATAATACACTACACTACGTTGTAGGATAATACACATTCAAACATCTACATGTATATATATGTATATATACACACACATGTATACATGTGTGTATATATATGTATATATACACACACATGTATACATGTGTGTATATATATGTATATATACACACATGTATACATGTGTGTATATATATGTATATATACACACACATGTATACATGTGTGTACATATATGCGTTTGTTTATATATGTGTGCGTGTGTATATACATGTACGTATATGTGTACATAAATACACACACAGACGCACACATATATACATGTGTGCATATATACATGCATACATATATGTCCGTGTATGTATATTTGTATATACATATATGTGTGTGTACATAAACACACATACACATATATGTATGCGTGTGTGTATGTAGAGAATGCACCTGTGTGTGTATGTACATGTATATTACTATTCACACACACACACACACACACAAACATATATAGTATATTGTATGCATATTTGTATATACATATATGTATGTGTGTGTACATAAACACACATACACATATATGTATGTGTGTGTACATAAACACACATACACATATATGTATGTGTGTGTACATAAACACACATACACATATATGCATGCGTGTGTGTATATAGAGAATGCACGTGTGTGTGTATGTACATGTGTATTACTATTCACCCACCCGCACATATATATATAGTATATCATATATATGCGTAAATACTAATGTGCATTTGTGATATATATATGTATATGGGTGTTTGTATGTACGGACACCGTATATCATAGCGTAATCTGACGGATACGGTAAATTGATGTCTTACACTTTACAATGAATCTAACAAAATGTTTGTCTGTAAATCGGTATTTGGCAGTGAAAATAAGTTTGAGAATTATACAAATGAATATTATAATACCATCTTTTATATCAAAATGCTTTTTTTTTTTGAAGGAAGACAACAGAGCCAGTAATGCAACAAAAGTGTTATTTTGTATGTACAATCAGTTACATTATTTCGAACTTCACAATGCTTTTTGAAGTTTATTTCATATAAACAACTAACTACATATACATAGCGCATCTAAACGTTGGTTCAGTGTCAGTTATATTTTAGAGATCGCAGAATTTATGAAAAGGAAGATGATGGACATAATTCAAGGTAAGGGTCGAACGTAATGAAGGGGTGTGGCTACTAGACTCGTGGACTACGGTATAAAAGGGACTCGCTTGATGACTGGAGCATCACACTTCGTCTCTACCTCCAACATGTTCACTAAGGTGAGAAGTATTAGAAACCTTGTTAATTCTTATTCACGATAAGAGATAATTCCAGTATAAATAATGGTGTGTTCTGGGTAACCATGGTCTGTTCATGTGAAAAAATCGTAATATATATATTTCTTTCTTCTAGACTGTCGTTGCCCTCGCCCTCGTGGCGTTTGCTGCCTCTGCTCCGTCTCAGCCAGCTTACGGTTATGCTCCTCAACCTACCTACGAGGTCTGTAGGATTTTGAGAATAAAATCCATTATAATACTAATGTTACTTTAATTTTAATTCATTATTTTATTATACAATTGTATGATCCTAATTTTGTGTAACTTCTCCAGGTCCCTGCCAAGTATGACTTCAACTATGCTGTGAAGGACGACTACTCCGGCAATGACTTCGGTCACCAGGAGGCTCGTGATGGCTATGACACTCAGGGTTCCTACTACGTTCTTCTTCCCGACGGTCGTCTGCAGAAGGTCGCCTACACTGTCAACGGCGACTCCGGCTACGTTGCTGAGGTTAGCTACGAGGGCGAGGCCCAGTACCCTGAGTACCATCCTGCTCCTGCCTACAAACCCGCCCCTGCCTACAAGCCCGCCCCTGCTTACAAGCCCGCCCCTGCTTACAAGCCCGCCCCTGCTTACAAGCCCGCACCCACTTACCATGCTGCACCTGCCTACAAGCCTGCCCCTACCTACGAGCCTGCTCCTACCTACGAGACCACCCCAGCCTACGCCTAAATGAACTTTTGTTAAACATATTTTGCTAGGTATTTATTAAACGGAAATTCTACTAAACTCTATTCTTTTCCCTTGTTAGCAATGAATATAAGAAATGTTAGTAAGTCTATATACACTGACATACACAATACTAAAGATTAAAATGAATCTTAGAACAGTTTCAAGTAATCAGGTTAAAATCAGTTTCTCTTTCATCCCGAAGCCTAGGACTGGTATGAAAAACAGTGTTGCTCAAGGGAGGAGCTTCATATTACTGAAATTTATCTGATACTGAAAAGTGGATGCGAAATTTCAATGAGTTACGCGGCTGTTATGCACATGCAAACATGCACAGTTTTTATACGCAAAACTATATACACACAAACAGAAAGACACCGCGATCTTCGCCTTAAGGATATTAATGTGACTAATCTGTAAAATATAATTTCCTTTTACCATCGACCGCGCAGTGACGAGAAATTTCGTACTATTGCTTCAGGTACTCTCTAAGACAACCTCGAACATCTCTATTTTTCTCTCTCTCTCGAATTGCACATGCTGTTGACCTTTACCTGGTCCATGTATTTTTTTCTACTCCCTAAATTTTAGCAGAGAGACGTACACATGCATACACTCCAAAATTATATTTGTGTATGTATATGTGTAGACACAAGCACAGTTACTATCTCTTATCTCCTATATGTCTATATATAGATAGATGATGCATATGTTATTATAATATGGCAGTCTGAAATATATTGAAAAATTTCAAATTTCCACTTTCAGTTTCTTCACACAAAATATTGCTACATATTTTTGAATTCACTCTGAAAAATCTTAGTTATGTTAAAATAAACAGTTACGACCTTTAATGTTTCATATGCTTTTTATATTGCAACAACTGCTGGAATAAAAAATCCGTACAAAAAATTAATGCTTTGTGAATTTTAATATATACACTTGCATGCACATACACACGCACACACGCGTACACACACACATACACACACACATATGTACATATAATTTCTTTCTATATGTCAAGCCGATGATAATCATTTAGAATTATCTGCTGCTGTCATTATCGGCGAATACCTTGTGGGATTAAAATGTTAAAATATTTAAAACGTTTAAAAATCTACCAAGAAATAATGTCTCTTATAAGTAGAAAGAAATAATCATTGTCTTAAAAAAGTATAAATACTATGCTTTAAATGTTCAATATTATTGCATATCCATTATGAATAATTAAATACTGATATATTAGTCTCCCTTAGCCAATTCGCGCCTGGTAAAAATGAACAAAAAACGGGGGAAATGCTGTGCTCATCTTTTAGTATTTTTATGTGAAATGTCTCTACAATAGATGGCTCTGCCTTACCTGATTTCACCTTTACTTGAATTGGCGGGAAAATGTATTTTTACTAGTGCTATGAATATCGATGGTTATTTTTTATTATAAACATTATAATTACTATAATGTTATAAACATTAGTAACAGCAAAATAAGATAACGTAAAATATTTTCGTAAATTAAAGAAAAGGGTAAACGGGCGAGACAGGCAGTACAAGTGTCGCCATCTATGTGTAAAATTAATTAAACCAGTAAACCCACAGCGAGTATGTCACGTATACGTGACACCCGGCGTGAATGGGTTAGGTAACTAATAAGACTTATGTCACAATCCTCCCCAATACATTTTACATTGTATATTAGGGGAAACAAGAACATACGTCTTTGGTCTGAGAATGTTATATGTGTGTGTCTATTTGGGAAAAAAATATATACATTTATACTGTATGTAATATGTGCGTTTGTGTATATGTATGTAATATATATGTGTGTGTGTGTGCGCGTGCCTGTATGTATATGTATATAAACTACCTCCTTCACACACACACATATGCATATAAACAGATATATGTGTCCGTATATGCATATAAATACCCTCCAAAATATATATACATATGTGTGTATATGTGCGCACGCGTGCGTGTGTGTGTACGTGTGTGTGTGAGTGTGTGTGCGTGTGCGTATATATGTACATTTACAAACGAAGTATATGCATACGGTGTTTATATATTTACATATGCCCAAACATAGCAATGTACAGGCATATAGAATAATTGTAGAGTATGCGTCTATTTAAGTCTATCCGTCCACTTAAATCCAGAGAATGGAAAGAATATACAACGATCCGAAGGCAGCCTAATTAACGCCTTCAAGGCGATGGTCGCAGTGTCCGGAAGGAAGGGAAGGCATGTCTTCTATGTACGGTATGTATACGATTATATGTACGGCCGCCTTAACTGTTCCGCTTTCCAATTCTAGTCATATTAGAGCATCATTAAGTTGTTTGCTTCAGCGTCATAATACTGTATGTTTTACTAGTCCATGGATGTAGCAGTCACGACCCATTTTTTTCCAGGCGAACTTTACCTTGAATTATATACATCATCTTCCCCTCCATAAATAATATTTCTGCTATCTGTATGAGCAAATTCTTTTATATAACACACTCACATATGCGAGTACATATATACTCATATATATACTCATATATATACTCATATATATATATATATATATATATATATGTGTGTGTGTGTGTGTATATATATATGTGTGTGTGTGTATGTAATATATATATACAACACACACACACACATATATAAATATATGTGTGTATGTGTGTGTAGATTTACATATAGATATCGGGAAATATACAGTAGATATAAATTCCCAAAGCACACATATCCACACAAACACACACATATATGTATATATATATATACATATACACACATATGTAAACATATGTGTGTGTGTAATCGAAAAAAATCACTATTCCGCATGTTTTGGATTATACAAGCACGAAAGAAATGAGTATTCATAAACATGCAGAAAATAATTTTGGAGTTCGTATCTATGCATGTGTACGTTAAGATCTAGACAGTACATGGCCCATATGCAATAAGGCAATAAAGAGCGAAGATAGACGAAATATTTAGTCAACACGTGCATAACCGCGGTCGAAACAAACTAGGACCTCATTTCTTCTTCTGTGTTTCACTAATAATAAAGTTTAGCGCAACGCTATTAACAAGTTTTCCTGAAGAAAGTGAAATAGATTTTAACCTGAACATCTTGAATTACCATTCTCAATTCTATTAAAGAGGTATGGTTAGTCCATGTCTCTTTCTTTTTTTTTCTTTTTTTGAGAATTATTATTTGTAAATGATGAAGTGTGTACTGTCTGGAGTTACAGCACTATGTGAATGCGTCAACATTTGTCAAGAAACATTTCTTTTTATAGTGTTATCATGGGGAAAAAGAGGCTTTACTAGAATTTCATTTTAATAAATATCTATCAAAAATATTTTTAAGTGAAGTTCTCATTTAGGCGTAGGTTGGGGTGGTCTCGTAGGTAGGAGCAGGCTCGTAGGTAGGGGCAGGTTTGTAGACAGCTTTTGGCTTGTAGGCAGGTGCATGATGGTAAGGGGCAGGCTTGTAGGCAGGAGCAGGCTTGTATTCGGGGTACTGGGCTTCACCCTCGTAGCTGACCTCAGCCACGAAACCGGAGTCGCCGTTGACAGTGTAAGCGACCTTCTGCAGGCGACCGTCGGGAAGAAGAACGTAGTAGGATCCCTGAGTGTCGTAGCCATCACGGGCCTCTTGGTGACCGAAGTCGTTGCCGGAGTAGTCGTCCTTCACGGCATAGTTGAAGTCGTACTTGGCAGGGACCTGGAAGAGTTGCACAGACTTAGAAACAAATCACACCAAATTTTCGACCATAGAATAACAGTATCATACCAATACAGTAATGTTACTATGATTAATTTATCCCTAAAATTTATACAAACCTCGTATGTTGGCTGAGGAGCATAGCCATAGCCTGGTTGAGAAGGAGCAGAGGCAGCAACGGCCACGAGGGCGAGGGCAACGACAGTCTAGAAGAAAGTAATGTAAATAAGTCATAGTTATACGGAGTATGACACTATTACGTCAATATAAATGCTATATCTTATCATAAATCTGAACACTTGTTACCTTAGTGAACATGATGGAGGTAGACGAAGAGTGATGCTCCGGTCATCAAGCAAGTCTCTTTTATACCGTAGTCCACAAGTCCAGTAGACACGCCTCTGTCCGTCCTTCATTCCGTGCTGCCTTTACCTTGAATATCTATCATATCCCTTTCCATTAATAAACATTCTACTATAAATGAAAATGGTTTGACACTAAAATAGATTCTATTCGCAAAACAAAAATGAAAAATATTGAATGTACCTTACAAGGTCAGTTGAACTAATTGAATTTGAATCTGCTAATGTACTTTAAATATATGAATTTGATAAGTTCTTATTTTCGCGTTATGTACCGTTCTGTTTGACATCGTGTAATAATTCTGGAGTATAAGACCTTATGTCTCCCTTCAGCTTACAGTGTTATGATATTATATGTATATGAATATAATAATATGAATATATATACATATACATATAAGTATAATTATACATGTATATACATATACATATAAGCATAATTATACATGTATATACATGTATACATATGCATACCCACAACAGATATACACACATTTGTTTACTACATATACGTATATATATTTTCAAATGCACACACACACACACACACATATATATATTCGTATATATATATATTCATGTGTTTTAAAAATATATATGTATATATATCTTTCAACAGCCATTCATTCCTCTGCTGGAAATCGGCCTCTCTCTTATATGAGAGGTTATTTGGCAGTGCCACCCTTACCTGATTGGATGCCCTCTCTAATCAACCGCGGTTTGGCGCGCTAACACTTGTGCCACGGCGGCGATTTCCCCTACGACACCTGGGTTTGACTTTCTCAAAGCGATATGTCGTTTTCTGGCCGTGAGATCGATCTTGAGCGAGCAGTCATAGCGCATGCATTTTTACGACTGGGGAATTGAACTCAGGACCATGAGGGTCGAAGTCCAGTGCTCTAACCACTGGACCATCGTGGCAGTCATATATATATATATATATATATATATATATATATATATATAATATAGAGATATGTATATATATGTATATATATGTATGTAGTATGTACACACACACACACACACACTCACAGCCATGTATATTTTACATATATACTTGTATGTATATTTTCAAATACACTGAAATACATATGTATGTGTATATATGTATATATATTCATGTATATGTACCTGTTTGAAAGAAAATATATACACATATGAAATATATGTGGATGTATGTAGTATATATATATGTATGCGTGTGTCTGTATATACTCCCGCTCTTCCACACACATACATATAAGCAATATGTGTCTATATGTACATATAAACACCCTCCACACACACACACACACACACATATATATACATATATATGGATATGTATGTATGTACGTGTGTGTGTGTGTGTGTGCGTACATGTGCGTGTCTCTGTATATATACATATACATACGATATATATACATAAGGTGCATATATATGTGCACATGCCCAAACATAGCAAGATATAGATATCTATAATAACTGTGCTGTGCGTGCTTCTTCGTGAATTAATCTGTCCACTTAAATCCAAGGAATGAAAAGACTATGCGGAAATCTATTCTAGAGATAATATGTGAGACGATTCGAAGGCAGCCAAATTAACACCTTCAAGGCGAAGGTTGTGGTGTCCGGACCGGAAGGAAGGGAAGGCATGTCTTGTATTACAGTATGTATGTATGTTCGGCCGCCGTATGTCAGTGGGACAGCTGTTCCACAATATTAAACACATCTGGAGCCTCATAAGTTGTTTGCTGCATTTTTTCGCCGTATGTCAGTGGGACAGCTGTTCCACAATATTAAACACATCTGGAGCCTCATAAGTTGTTTGCTGCATTTTTTTCCAGACGAACTTTACATTGATTTATACCCATCATCGTCCCTTCTGCAATTCATATTTCTGCTATCTGTATAAGCGAATTCTTCAATGTAAAGCACATACACACATATACATATAAATATATAAATAAATATAAATATATATACATATATGTACATACACACACACATTCATATATATATATAACTATATACAGATAGATAGATATCGGGAAAGATACAGTAGATATAAAAGTGTTATTCACGTATACACACATATAAAACATACGCACACACACAGACATATATATATGTGTATATATGTGAGTGTGCCTGTGTGTATGCATAATCAGTTGCGAGACTATGCATCAATTATTAGACCAGAGGGAGAGAGAGAGAGAGAGAGAGAGAGAGAGAGAGAGAGAGAGAGAGAGAGAGAGAGAGAAGCAGCTTTGAACATTTAGCAGATAGGCGAAAATTTTCGTTGACATGGTAGGCCGATATTATGAGGAGACACCCAATAAAGTGATCGGATTAATATCTTCTGGGGGGAAGTCGCGGTGTCTGGAACTAGAAGTAGGAGAAAGTTGTCTTTTATGTATCTATGTATTTATGTATGTATGCAGCTGCACTATGTGCATAACAGCAATCGTAACTCACTAGGATCTCATTTCAAGAAATGTATCACTTATAACATAATTATCATTTTCGTTTTATTTATGAAGAAAGTGATATAGATTATAACCTGAACATCCTGAATTATCATTCTCAATTCTATTAATTAAGGAGACGGTGGTTCATGTCTCTTTCAGTGTTTTTTTCTTTTGAGATCTATTATTTGTCAATGATCAAGTGTGCACTCTATGGATATATAACACTAAATGAACGTGCCACCATTTGTCAAGAAATATGTTGCCTGGCTAACATTTCTTAGTGGGGAAGAATAGACTTTGCTAGAATTTCATTTTAATAAATATCTATCAAAAATATTTTTTAAGTGAAGTTTTCATTTAAGCGTAGGTTGGGGTGGTCTCGTAGGTAGGAACAAGCTCGTAGGCAGGGGCAGGTTTGTAGACAGGTGTAGGCTTGTAGGAAGGTGCAGGATGGTAAGGAGCAGGCTTGTAGGCAGGTGCAGGGTGGTAAGGAGCAGGCTTGTACTCAGGGTACTGAGCCTCACCCTCGTAGCTGACCTCAGCCACGTAACCAGAGTCGCCGTTGACAGTGTAAGCGACCTTCTGCAGACGACCGTCGGGAAGAAGAACGTAATAGGAACCCTGAGTGTCATAGCCATCACGGGCCTCCTGGTGACCGAAGTCGTTGCCGGAGTAGTCATCCTTCACTGCATAGTTGAAGTCATACTTGGCAGGGACCTGGAAAAGTTACACAAAGTTAGGAACATGCAGTAACATAATACAACAATAATGCAGTAACATTAGTATCATAACAAATTTAATTCTCAAAATCTTACAGACCTCATAAGCAGGTTGAGGAGCATAACCGTAAGCTGGCTGAGACGGAGCAGAGGCAGCAAAGGCCACGAGGGCGAGGGCAATGACAGTCTAGAAGGAAGAAATGTATATTACAATTTTTTTTCTTTTTAATTCACATAAACATACCATGGTTATCCAGAACACGACACCTTTATTTATACTGAAACTATCGCTTATCATGAATAAGAATTAGCTAGGTTTCTAATACTTCTCACCTTAATGAACATGTTGGAGGTAGAGACGAAGTGTGATGCTCCAGTCATCAAGCGAGTCCCTTTTATACCGTAGTCCACGAGTTTAGTAACCACGCCCCTTCATTACGTTCGACCCTTACCTTGAATTATGCCCATCATCTTCCTTTTGATAAATTCTGCTATCTCTATAATATAACTGACACTATAACAACTTTTAGATGCGCTGTGTATATATTAGTTGTTTTATATGAAACAACTTCAAAAACATTGTGAAATTCAAGCATTTTATGACGTTTATTTGTAAAATTCTTAGATTTATAGTTATGTTAGATTCAATGTAAAGGGTAAAGCTTCAGATTACCCTATGATACTATATATGTGGTATCCGCACACACGCGTGCGCTCGCGCCTGTGTGTGCTTTCTGTATATATAGAAATATATGTATACACGCATATGGACATATGTGTGTGTATGCACAGACACACATATCCGTATTTGTGTGTGTATCTATATCTCCACACACACACACACATATATGTATAAATATATATATATGCATACACACACATATATACATGCATGTATATATGCATTCACACACACCCATGTGTATACGTGTGCTTCTGAATGTAGGTTTGCATTTATACACACATACATACATACATGCATACATACACACACCAACACATATACACACAAACGCACATCTCTCTATTTCACACACATGTGGAATTCATGTCGAACAAATTACAAGCAAAACAACGAAGAGGAGTACAGTAAAACACACGAATATCCCGCAGGCCTTTTCGCATTTATTGATTCATCAAGGCATATGAGATAAGAGAGGTATATATACATGTAAATGCCCGAGAGCAGTACTTCCATCTTAGTGATATAAATATAAGAAGAGATAAACAGCTTCCTTTCCTCGACACCTCAATCCATAGGAGACCTGACGGCCCGCTGTTCTCTGTACACAGAAAGCCCACAAATGAAGATGATAATATACATTATTTCTCTGCCCATAACAATAGAACCAAAGAAGACGTTGTCATTGTTTTATCCCCCTAGCACTTAGAATCTGCAGCCGGAGTTCCTGGAGGAGGAAATGCAACACGTCAGTAACATCTTCCAACGCCTCCGTTACCCTCGCACCTTGCTCACCCACCTACGAAGCAAGGCAGAAAAGAGGGAACACCACATGGAACAAGACACACAGAGTTATCATCCCACACTCGCAGCTAAGAGAACACCTGGAGGCCCTGTCGGGCCGCACAATGAAGATAGATACCATTTCTGGTAAGAAGATCGGAGATTCCATATGAGAAAAGAGGTCATACTACTGCAAACCTCTTAGCCAGGTGTACAGCATACCTTGCAGTGGCTGAGATAAAATATATGTAAGTGAGACAGGACGTGACCTCCACGAACAACGAATCGACCAATACCACAGCGCCCTCTGACGGCATGACAAGAGGAGCGCCTTCGTTGTTCACGTCGACACCAACGGCCATCTCCCTAAGTGGTCAAAAGCCCTCCATCACAAAACAAGGCCTTTCCCCACGACAAAGGAAGCAGCGTTCGTCCATTCAACTAACAACTTCAACCCCGCAACAGGGAGCCACGAACTTGCCAGGGTCGTCACACACCTAATTACCGACCTGACCTGACCGCTCAGTACATGTATCTATACACCTCTATGTATCGCTTGTCTCATATGTCCTGACGAAGTAATAAATGCGAAAAGGCCTTCGGCATATTCGTGTTTTCCTTTATTTCCCTTCGTTGTTCTTCTTGCATGCACACACACACATATAAATGCATAAATTCATTTATTCATATATATATATATATATATATATATATATATATATATATGTGTGTGTGTGTGTGTGTGTGTGTGTGTGTGTGTGTGTGTGTGTGTGCATTCCTGTGCATATTCACACACACTTATATACACACATGTAGAAACTTATATAAGTACACATGATAGAAACTTATATAAGTACACATGCCTGTATACACACATGTAGAAACTTATATAAGTACACATGCCTGTATACACACATGTAGAAACTTATATAAGTACACATGCCTGTATACACACATGTAGAAACTTATATAAGTACACATGCCTGTATACACACATGTAGAAACTTATATAAGTACACATGCCTGTATACACACATGTAGAAACTTATATAAGTACACATGCCTGTATACACACATGTAGAAACTTATATAAGTACACATGCCTGTATACACACATGTAGAAACTTATATAAGTACACATGCCTGTATACACACATGTAGAAACTTATATAAGTACACATGCCTGTATACACACATGTAGAAACTTATATAAGTACACATGCCTGTATACACACATGTAGAAACTTATATAAGTACACATGCCTGTATACACACATGTAGAAACTTATATAAGTACACATGCCTGTATACACACATGTAGAAACTTATATAAGTACACATGCCTGTATACACACATGTAGAAACTTATATAAGTACACATGCCTGTATACACACATGTAGAAACTTATATAAGTACACATGCCTGTATACACACATGTAGAAACTTATATAAGTACACATGCCTGTATACACACATGTAGAAACTTATATAAGTACACATGCCTGTATACACACATGTAGAAACTTATATAAGTACACATGCCTGTATACACACATGTAGAAACTTATATAAGTACACATGCCTGTATACACACATGTAGAAACTTATATAAGTACACATGCCTGTATACACACATGTAGAAACTTATATAAGTACACATGCCTGTATACACACATGTAGAAACTTATATAAGTACACATGCCTGTATACACACATGTAGAAACTTATATAAGTACACATGCCTGTATACACACATGTAGAAACTTATATAAGTACACATGCCTGTATACACACATGTAGAAACTTATATAAGTACACATGCCTGTATACACACATGTAGATGCATATATATATGTCTGCATACCTGTACGCACACACAGACACACATGTATATATGCAGTATACACATGCCTTTATGTACGTACATACATACATACATATATATATGTGATAATATCGGATTATCAAATCCTTCAACGTCGTAGGTTGAGCATTAGGTACTGTGTACATGAAACAAGTATATACAAGCATACATATGCACATACATTTATATACATATAAATAAACATTATCATTTTAAGTTATATATGGGAGGCTGAGATTAATGCATGTTTATGTCTGTGTCTACTTCTTTCATTTTTCGATTAAGAGGAATGCATTCTCGCGCACTGTTAAAGGTATCATAAGTTATCACATGGGCAATCCAAGTAATGGGTAGTCTTAGAAACACTTTTTTGAAAGAATAGATACTTTTAGAATTTCAGTTTAATAAATATTTATAAATTCTTTTTCAATCGTAGTTCATTAGGCGTAAGCTGGGGTGGTCTCATAGGAAGGAGCAGGCTCATAGGTAGGTGCGGGCTGGTAAGAAGGAGCAGGCTTGTAGGCAGGAGCAGGCTTGTAGGCAGGGGCAGGCTTGTAGGCAGGAGCAGGTTTGTAGGCAGGAGCAGGCTTGTACTCGGGATACTGAGCCTCACCCTCGTAGCTGACCTCAGCCACGTAACCGGAGTCGCCGTTGACAGTGTAGGCAACCTTCTGCAGACGACCGTCGGGAAGCAAGACGTAGTAGGAACCCTGGGTGTCGTAGCCATCACGGGCCTCCTGGTGACCGAAGTCGTTCCCAGAGTAGTCATCCTTCACGGCGTAGTTGAAGTCGTATTTGGCAGGAGCCTGGAAAAGTTTCACGAAGTTAGGATCATACAATACCATATGTCATCACGTTGTTACTGTAGCAATATACAAATGGCATTATGAATCTAAATTTCAAGATTTCACAAACCTCGTAGGTAGGCTGAGGAGCATAGCCGTAAGCTGGTTGAGAAGGTGCAGAGGCAGCAACGGCCACGAGGGCGAGGGCAACGACAACCTAAAGAGATAAGTTATATCACTAATTCCTTTCCTTTTTATGCACACACATAAATCATGAAGCTAATATTTTTACATCACTTTTCATTGTAAATCTAAATTAAAAGACTTGGTTTTCTCACCTTTGTGAACATGATGAAGGAAGACGAAGTGTGATGCTCCGGTTATCAAGCGAGTCCCTTTTATACCATAGTCTACGATTCTAGTAGACACGCCCTTTTCCTCCCTTTCCTCCACGCGACCTTTACCTCGAATTATAGCAATTATCTCCCTTTCTATAACTGACCATACCGTAATCTTTATAAAGGAATTCTTCAATGTAGTATGGTGTCGGTACACAATACATATAATCAATAAATTTCACTACATTAAGGTATAGCTGTTTCTAAAATAGTAAAAAAATTCGAGGCAAATGTTGAAAACAAATACATCGGCTTAAATACCTCTGTTAGTGTAATACTGGTCTATTTACAACTCAGTCTATAATACTATAAATTAAAATTTTAGAATTCAGACCTTTTAGCCACCCTTTATCATGCACGTACGCACACACACACATATAAAAATATTTTGAAGACAAACATCTGTTGAACTTAAATTTTAGTAACGCTCATTTCTTTTTTGTTAGCCTAAACAAATCTGAAAGCGTGGATAAGCCAACACAGCGTTCAATTCAAAAGCCCAAACTTGAATATCGCCTAAATATATATGTAAGGACAGATACACCAATTAAACTTTGAATCGTAAGTTTTTCGGGGTTTCATGTTTAAAATTATGGTCAACTATGGTGCAGAAGATGATAATGAAGTCAACGTACAACAAAGGCTTTAGGGTGAAAATTGTGCATATTTTCTTCATACACAAAATATCATAAGGTTTATTTTTTCATAAAAAGATATATTTCTAATAAGAGAGGTGTACCGAATTCAGATCGTCTATAAGATCGTTGAATTATACACCGCAACGTAAATTAGAAAATAATAACTCTAGGTTAATATGAAGAAAAATAAACCAACATATCACACACACATATATAACTATTTATATATATGTATATATATATATATATACATACCTTTTTCATGCCAAAAGAGCTTCAGTATATTCAGTATATGGAAGATGTACAGTGCTATTTGTAACAGAATTTTTCTGTGAATGTTATCCAAACGTTCAAAAAATGTAATTCAGATTTTTGTCGGAAAATATGCCTGTCAGTATTTTTTAAAAATCTGTCAAATTCTGTTCTCGTAAGAAAATGTTACTGTTACTGTCGAGCGCTTCGCCATGTTACCCCGTATGTCTGTAGCATGATCAATTGTATGGGGTCATATCGTACAAGATATCCCAAGATTTCCATAACAAGTCTTCGTTTTGACACGATTAGTGTTTTCTTATATAAGATATCAATTATATAAAGTTGATAAATGAATCGTACCGAGAGAAGTCAATACATATATATAATGAGAGAAAAGAAAAGACTTCAGCTTAACACAATAAGTGTTTTCTTATATAAGATATAAATTACATAAAGATGGTAATCATGCCGAGAGAAGTCAATATATATATAATGAAAATATACACTGTATATCTTTATACAATATATGTATATGTATGTGTGTACGTTTAGCGTGTGTGAGTGTATGAATATACATAATTATGTATATATCTGCATATATGTATATATAGTCGAACGCAAACACACACCTACTCCTTCACACACACATAATTCCATGTACGTTTGCTTTTATACACTTATGTATGCCAAATCATACATGCATATTCTATAAATATGTAGTATATACGCTTTTATCTGAATTTATAACCATGTGAGAGTACCGTGTGTTTCCGTGGATGCATAACCTAGATATTCATGGTACTACTTCCATAATCATTAAGGTTACAATATGATACAAATGACTATTACAGGAATTTTCGTTTAATAAATATTCATCATAGATATATCCAATTTTGTTTCAATTAGGCATAAATAGGGGTAGGTTCATAGGTAGGAGCAGGATTGTAAGCAGGAGTAGGCTTGTAGACAGGGGCAGCCTTGTAGGTAGGAGCAGGTTCGTAGACAGGGGCAGGCTTGTAGGCAGGGGCAGGCTTGTAGGCAGGAGCAGGATGGTACTCAGGGTAATGGGCCTCACCCTCGTAGCTGACCTCAGCCACGTAGCCGGAGTCACCGTTAACAGTGTAAGCGACCTTCTGCAGACGGCCGTCGGGAAGGAGAACGTAGTAGGAACCCTGTGTGTTGTATCCGTCACGTGCCTCCTGGTGGCCGAAGTCGTTTCCAGAGTAGTCGTCCTTTACAGCGTAGTTGAAGTCATATTGAGCTGGAGCCTAAAATAAAAAAAATGAAAAATAAATCACATTTTTTAAAAGAGTATTACCATGTGCTATAAATTAAAAGAAAGGAATATTCACCAGTTGTTCACAATTAATTATCATATACTTTTTACACTTACGTCATAAGCTGCTGGAGGAGCATATCCGTAGGAGGGCTGTGAAGGAGCAGCCAGAGTGACGGCCACAAGGGCAAGAGCGACGGCGATCTGAAAGTAGACACGGAAAATTAGACTGTAGAAATAATAATAAAACAAATTTCATAATTCTAAAAGAAAAACAAATTCAAATCCTTAACGCAGTTCTTGTACCTTAGTGAACATGGTGATGAAGGTGATGTTTGTGATACGTTAAACTCCAGCTAACTACCTTTTATACTCTGTATTCTCCCAGCCACTTCCCTTCGCCACGCCCCTTTCCACCCTCTAACCCTCCTTCACCTTGGGAGGATCGAAAGCAAGTAGTTTATTGTAATTACATACATCCAAAGTGTAAGTAATTAGGGTCTGGACCGATGTTAATTAGTGCAGTTATTCTGAGCATCACTACCTATGTCACCGTTGGGTCATCGATAATTAAACAGGAGGAAACGAGCAGATTGCATATTGTATGCTTTGTGGTGCTTTATCGATGATCTATAAAACGTCAGTGCACATACATCTAAATCACATACATCTGATTTTAATAATTAACTAATAGCAGCACATGTACGAGTTTACCATTTTTATATGTATAAGTATCATTCCCTCTCTCTATATACACACAAACACACACATGCCAACACACACACACACACACACACACACACACACACACACACACACACACACACACACACACACACACACACACACACACACACACACACACACACACACACACACACACACACACACACACACACACACACACACACACACACACACACACACACACACACACACACACACACACACACACACACACACACACACACACACACACACACACACACACACACACACACACACACACACACACACACACACACACACACACACACACACACACACACACACACACACACACACACACACACACACACACACACACACACACACACACACACACACACACACACACACACACACACACACACACACACACACACACACACACACACACACACACACACACACACACACACACACACACACACACACACACACACACACACACACACACACACACACACACACACACACACACACACACACACACACACACACACACACACACACACACACACACACACACACACACACACACACACACACACACACACACACACACACACACACACACACACACACACACACACACACACACACACACACACACACACACACACACACACACACACACACACACACACACACACACACACACACACACACACACACACACACACACACACACACACACACACACACACATACACACAGACACACACACACACACACACACACACACACACATATATATATATATATATATATATATATATATATATAAATGAAACATTATTGAAACCTCATATATATGTATGCATATATATATATATATTTATACTCTTCACAGATATAAGAGTCAACAAAAGATGTTTTATGGCATTTCAGAATTCACTTAACAGTTGAGAGTTACTGGCTTTACTCGGTGAACTGGGCTTCATCCTCGTAATTTAACCTTAGCCAAGCAGTTGAAATCCCGTATGACCGTCATGAAGCAGGGCGCAGTAGGAAACCCTGGTAATATATCCACTGCAAGCTTCCTTGTGGTTGAAGGTGTTTCTGGTGTAGTCTTAACGGGGTAGTGAAAGCTGTACTTAGTTGGGTCACATAGAAATAAATATTTAGCAGATACATATAGAACAGATAATATATAGAGTATGTATAATAATTGCATAATACGCACATATATTATTATAACAATCCCGCTTGTTGTACCGTTTAGTACAGTGTAGGTTGATAGTATATGTAAAAGTAAGTTTTTAGATATCTAGGGGAAGCAGCGGAATAATAACATGTACTGAAAGTAGCTTATATTATAGCTTATAGATAAGTATCAACTAAGTTCGTAAAGTTTACAGCTTTTACTGTTTTCTTGAATTTATGCGCTTATGAATTATTATCAGCTATATTTTGAATCAATAGTTATTATGCAGTCATTTTGTTTGTATTCTTTTCTTATACAGTTATTTATTACTTATTTCAGAATTGTTCAGTTTTTTTCCAGCATTAGTCCTTATTCCGATTATATTCATTTGGAGCAGTCTTATTTAAGTATACCTTATTATCTATATACTGCGCGCATTGTCCTGTTATAATGAATTGTAAGGTATATCCAATATGAAGTGTATTTTTTAAATTACAATTAGATCATTCTCGTTTAACGTTTCTTAATAGTCTTAGGTTATCAAAGAATTAGTTATATAGGTTATCTTCTCACAGTAGGTTTATTTAAATTGAACAATATTTCACAAGTTTAATTACTTCGTTAATTATATTACACACAACAAAATCATTAAACATTCTACAAAATGGAAATATACTATTACTGATAAATAGAATTTCTTTCGAATTCTGAAGGCGATTTATCACACTCGTTTTCCTAGAAAAAACGAATTAATGCATAGGGTTATAATAACACCAATAAAATCACCACTTATTTCCTTTATGTTCCACCTCATAGCCTAGCGCAAAGACAAGAAAGTATATACTTCACCAGTATGCTTTAGAAGCAACTCTAAAGTTCCAGATGTTCGAAACGCTAATTTTCAAAGTTAGTCCAACGTGTATCCGTACCTGGGAGTAAATGAAGCAATGGCCGCTCAATCGAGACTCACATTTTCAGTCCACGTCTCCCCTCCAGGTAGACTTCCACGTCCCTCGCTTCGGAACCTCAGGTTCGCGAATCCTCATCCTCGACGCACAATACGGACACTAATTTCGATCGCACTTTTAAAATATCACTTTGGTGCGCACAGACCGTGAGTGTGGAGAGATTATAATGATATACATACATATATATATACATACACATATATTTCTACATCTGTATTCATCTATCTATCAATCTATCTGTCTATCAGTCTATCTGTCAGTCAATCTATCAAGCTATCTATCAATTTATTTGTCTATCTATTTAAATATTCATTATATATACACACATACTTGTATGTATATGTATATATGTATGTGTGTGTGTGTGCGCGCGCGCGTGTATGTGTGTGTGTGCATGTATGCATAAATATTTTTATGTGCGCCTACATATATATTTCCACCCTCACTGTCCAGCCTACCTTCATCACAGTGGAGGATATAATGAATTCAACTTACATTCAAGGCGTTAGAATGGAAATTGACAGTAGGGTAACCACACCATAACTAAACTATGCATAATTTCGTTATACACAAAATATTATAAGATTTATTCTTTTCATAGAAAAATATCTCAAACAAGAGAAGTATACTGAATTTAGATCGTCCATAACATCGTTGAAAGTAGAAAGTAGATCACCTCATATCACACACACACACACACACACACACATATCACGAAGTTATTTTTTAAAATTCTACTTTATTTATTTATTTTTAAAGAAAATAAACATATCACACACACACACATACACATATATATGTACATATATGTATATATATATGTAAACAGACGCACACACTTATGTAAATACATCCTTTTCATGAAAAAATCACTCCAGTATTTTCAGTATAAGGGAGATGTACATTGTCATATGTATAATCAAAATGTATATTGTACTTAGGGATTGAATAATTTGTGCTAGCTAATAAATATAATTATTTTCACTTGTGACAGAGGAAAAATGTGTTCTTATGATTATGTTTAGAAATGTTATACTATTAAAATGTAATATACAAGTTAAACGGAAACTATATCAATCAATATTAAAAAGTCTAATTCTATTATTACAAGTAAACGTGTTTTCTTGCATATCAATTATAAAAAGATTATAAAAGATATAAAAGAATCATATGTATAAATACGTATAATGAATATATACATTGTGTATATATACGTATATATTTATCTGTTTATATATATGTGTACATGTATGTATGTGTGAGTGCATACACATAACACACACTTGCCCACCCCCACCTACGCATGTAAATGTATGGATGTATTTATGCACATATATGTATGCCTGTTCATACATACATATATTTATAAATATGCGGTATATACACCCTTATCTAAATGTATGCCCATGTGATAGTATCGTATTTTCCCGTGGATAACCGAGATATTCATACTACTTATGCATTCATTAAGGTTACAGCTTGATACAAATGACTATTACTGGATTTCCGTTTAATAAATATTCATCATAGATTTATTCAATTTTCTTTTACTTAAGCATAGGTAGGGGCAGGTTCGTAGGTAGGAACGGGCTTGTAGGCAGGAGCAGGTTTGTAGGCAGGGGCAGCCTTGTAGGTAGGAGCAGGTTCGTAGACAGGAGCAGGCTTGTAGGCAGGAGCAGGATGGTACTCAGGGTATTGGGCTTCACCCTCGTAGCTGACGTCAGCTACATAGCCGGAGTCGTCGTTGACAGTGTAGGCGACCTTTTGCAGACGGCCGTCGGGAAGGAGAACGTAGTAGGAACCCTGAGTATCATAGCCGTTACGGGTTTCTTGATGACCGAAGTCATTGCCGGAGTAGTCGTCCTTTACGGCGTAGTTGAAGTCATATTGAGCAGGAGCCTAAAATGAAAAAAAAAAAAATAAAGATAAATAAATAAATAAAAAATAAAGAAAAAAAAATAACGCTAGCTCTTTTTTCAAATATAATGCATTCACCAGTTATCCACAAATAATTACACTTACGTCATAAGTTGCTGGAGGAGCATATCCGTAGGAAGGCTGTGAAGGAGCAGCCAGAGTGACGGCCACAAGGGCAAGAGCAACGGCGGTCTGAAAGTAGACACGAAAAATTAGACTAGAAAAGATAAAAACCAAAAAACCAAAAAACACAAGATTTCATGATTTGAAAAGAAATGCAAATTCAAATCCTTAGCGCAGTTCTTGTACCTTAGTGAACATGTTGTGAAGGTGAAGAATGGGATACGTTAAACTCGAACTAACTACCTTTTATACTCTGTATTCTCCCAGCCACTCCCCTCCGTCACGCCCCTTTCCACCCTCTAACCCTCCTTCACCTTGGGAGGAGCGAAAGCATGTAGTTTATTGTAATTACGTACATCCGAAGTGTAAGTAATTAGGGTCTGGACCGACGTTAATTAGTGCATTCTGAGCATCACTACCTGTCACCGTCACACTGACAAACAAAGAGAAGATTGTATACTGCATATACTGTGGTGCTTTATCGATGATCTATGAAAAGTCAGTACACATACATTTGATTTTAATGATTAACTAATAAC